CTCTTGTTTTCAGTCTTGCTACCTCAAATTCATTCCCAAATACAAATTTGCTTATACCATTCTCCCATTTTAAATGCCTCTGTGCATTTCCACTGCCCCTAGAATCAAGTCCAAGTTGCCCAGATGCCTGACGCATGGTGTCTCTCCACTGTCCCCACTGAACTCTTCACCAGAGCTCTCAGATGTTCACTCCTGCCTGACACTGGTGCCTGTTAGAGCTTTCCTTATTGATGCTTATGTGAAGAGGTATTGGTTCAAATAGATGCTGTGACAAGACAGGAAAAAGGAATTATTGAAACTCCTGGGACTCAAGGAATCCATGAACCAGACATTCCTCATGGCTTGGGTACTACCTTTAGCTCAGTCGCCCATTTGGCATTGCATGTTTGAACTGATTTGAGGACGGCAAAGTCCCCTTTACTTGGTGCTCAATGAGGTACTAATGAGTTCCTTAAATCCTAGAACCTTAATTAATGAGTTAGTGGCACCAACATGCCACTTACTTTTGACTTTTTCTAGATTATCTCACTTTGTAAATCTTTTGATTCATCTGTAAGTAAGCGGGTATGTAGAAAATAACAGAATTAGAATACACAGCAAAAGTTCTAAATAGTTTGGCAGGACAACAAGTATTTCTATATGTGGGATAAATGGTCATCTCTTTACTACACACCCATATGCAGGGGAGTTAATAGTGAACTTTAAGAAAACAATTTAAAATCTGAAGATGTATTCCCCTAGTGGAGGATCTAGGTTCTGTTTACTTCTAAACCAACAAGCTTTTCAAAAGTACAGATAATGTAATTTCTGAGAAATATTGCAGAACTTTCTGAGCTATATGCAAAAAAAAAAAAAAAAGTAACTAAAAATTCCGACAGATCTCTTTGGGCTTAAAAGGTAATAGCAGCTCTTGGCTCAGCTAAACTGTTAAAAGTCCTTATTGCTAGAACTCTTTTTCATGCTGAATAAGTGGATGCATTTTCACAGATTCTCAGGTTTCTCTCAATAAAACTGTTTGAGAATCCAAAAACAGAGCTCCTTAGTTGTGTAGTTCAGAATTAATTGTTCACACTAGATTCGGATTAATTTGCATGAATTTCTTTTTCTTTTGGCCCAGTGTCGCTATTGTTTATTTCCAAAAAATAATATTTCCTTATCATGTAAAACACAAAGACAGGTTCAATCAGAAACTTCAATTTTTAGAACAATCACAATTTTCATTGATTTATCTCCTCGGAGCTGAGAAAAACAGTTCAGTGTTTTCTGTCAAGGCAGCAAAGCATGGATTTTGATTGGACATAGAGGGAACAGTTCTGTTTCAAGATCTCATTAAAAGCCACCTGCTGCCTTAATAATGATAGCATAATTAAAATGCTATTTCCAAATTTGGTATTACTTAGACATTGTGGACAGAAAGAGAAAGCTGATTAAAACTATCTAATTTGAGACTAAGGTAGCAATTTGTGGAAAGGGTGTCTTGATTGTGTTTGACAAATGCAATAGGAAAATACCAAATACATATTTTTGATTTGGAAAGGAATTGGGCCTAGTTACCCAGTCATGAACCCATGCCATGGTATCACCTACAAAAGAACCCTTTACTTCCCCTGTTTTATTCTCCGTTTGACAGGAAACTTTCCTTAATTTTTATTTTTATACTAAACCAACTAATGATTTTCTAGAAATGGTTTTTTTCAGAAGAACTGAATTGGCTGTATCCCAAGATAATTATTTCAATAACAAAGGCGTGGAGTTGTGACACAGGAATAAATTAGGAATTAAGTAGGGAATTGTGGAAGAACTTGTCCCAAATGAACAATTGCACTGAAACTTCAATGAAGCCAACATTGCTTTTGTATTGATGTGACAGACCTTATAAATAACACAGAAGCAATAATCAATGGATTGTCAAATCAACTTATGCAATATTTATTAAGTGCAAGGCACTGTTTTAAATGCTGTAAGTGGTACAGAGATTACTCTTTCATCTATCTCAAAGTCTTATTCCTTCCAAGGTGACATCCAAAGCCACTCAACATGACAGCCTCACATCTGCCTGACCTCCTCAGCCCAGTAAGTTGACATCCGGTGCCAGCCATCACACAGCCCTCTCATTTCTTCATGATGTTTGTTCACTTTGGTTTTTGTGCAAGTCTGCACTTTTTTGGATTCCAGAAAATTCCCTCCTCCCCCACCTCCTTCCACGCACTATGACTTTCCATTCTTTGGTGACTGAGCACTCCTCGGAGCACACTTCTCCCTCTACCTCCTCTTCTGGATAACACCAACATCATCTTCAAGACCCGACTCAGAGGTCATCTTTTCCAGGGACTCCCTCCAGTTTAGAACAAGTGACTCTCCCCTGTACTCCCACAGAAGCCTGCCCATAATCCTCTCATTATGATATTATATTAATAATGACCACAAATGTTTACTGAGAGCTTATTGTGCGTTAAACACTGCTCTAAGTGATTTACATAGGTTAGTACATTCAATTCTTACGATAAGCACATGAGTTAAAGAACTATTACTTGCATTTCAGAGAAGAGGAAACTAAGAAATAAAGAGGGTAAGTAATTTGCTCAAGGTCGCACAGGTAGCCTGACCCCAGAGCCCACTGTTAATGACCAGGCTCCACAAAAACATCCACCTAGGCAGAGCAAACCTCTATGACTATGGGACCCTCCTGCTCACCCTCTCTGTCCATATTGCTATAATCTCCTTTAAGGCAGAGACTGTGTATTATATATTTTTATATCAAGCATCTATGGCATAGTGCTAGTTGTAGCATGTGCTTAATAAACATTTCTTGAAGTTCAAGTGAAAACAAAGGTCCCCGACTCAAGCAAAGGGCAAGGTACACCTATATGAAAAATAGAATACTTATTACGTGTTTAATTCTCAGTATAGCTTTTCTTTATCTCCTTTACGACAGTCTCATACATATGTTAACAAGATATGGTCCAAAATACATCCCAGTGAGGCAAGCACCAAATTGACTAGCTTTTCGTGTCCTGGAAGCTGCACTTGGCTTTGATAATCTACAGTTATTTTTCAGGTAACTGATGTCAAGTGGGAATGTGTTGGGGTAGAGGTGGTCTTAGCCGTTTCAATCACTGTCAGAAGTGAAATTCAGGGCAACTAACAGATATATATCCCTTGTCTTTTACTGGTGCTGTGAAAATTGATCTCTAAAATGCTTTGACTTGAGGTGAAAGTAGCTGTATATCATAAAAGCAGCCTTGCAAATATCCTTTCACCCAAAGTAAGTAACAATTTTCGATGGGCAAATAGGAAAGAAAACTTATCTTTATTTTATGATCTTTGGCTATTGGAGTAGAAAGCAAGCTGGGGGAACCGTTGTATTTCTGTTTGTGATCGCTCGCTCATCTGGATTACTTCTTTATCTTGTACATGCTTTTTATGATTTCATGCATCATCAATTTACTCATCTTCTCCACTTCCAGGCTTTAATAAGCTCCACAAGAACAGAGATGATGCACAGGGAAGCCCCTGGCATGCAGCAGGTACTTAATGCATACCTAAAAGAAAATTGATGGATCTGACCTATTTCCCTAAATAGGTGTCAGTTACCCAGGATTAGCCTGAAGAGCAGACCTAGGGGGTCCATTTTCCTTTAGGTAACAAACAGTATTCGCAACCTCTGAGATGATAGTGAGAGAAGAAATTGGATTAGGAGTGTTGATAACGAGTCTACAACTTAGAGTAGAATTCACACATTCACATGCCCGTGTTCTGGAACTCATTCTCAACTGAATCTAGTAGATAAAGTAGCATTTGATAAGCACATATCAAAAGAAGGCCTTGTGCCAAATTTGAGAATAAGAGGTGGTCCCAGAACCACAGCGAACTCTGGGGTAGGACAAGTGAAGCCCTATCCTCAGGCACAGAATTTACCAGGGTTCCAATAAACTCTCCCTAATTAAGATAAGTACTCATCTAATGCAAAATTTAAAAAAAAATAAAATTAATGCAAAAATCAATGATGAGCAATGTACCAACATTTTAAATAAAGTCAGGATCAGAAATATGACTGTGCCAAGCCATATTGGAGCCTGAGGCAAAAAGAAAATTCAGTAACACTGATCCTGTCTTTACTTAAAATACCGAAATGTTGCTCATTATGGATATTTTTGCATTAATTTTGATTTTTAAGATATTGCATTAAAAGATGACTTCCTTTGCCTAGGGAGGGTTTTTCTCGCCCCTTACATGCACCAGGATACCGCCGCGGCAGTTTCACCCTCACCCTGGCCTTGTCCACCTCTCACAGCGAAGTCAGACACTGAGAGCAAATGGAGCTTATTAAAATTAAATGATCTTATGGAGGAGTGCTGGGGATGCCGCAGGAGCTCAGAGCACCTGGTCCATCAGGGGGAAATGGCAACCTGGGAGTTGCTACAGAGTGAGTTGGGGGTTGAGCCAGGGCAGCCCTGAAACAGCAGCGTGGTGGGTGGAAGGGAATGAATAGAACGTGATAAGGCAAGGGGCGCCATCACAGTGTGCTAAGGGAAGCCCAGGCAGGTGGGATTCATCAGAAGGAAACCTGGCCAGGTAAGGTGGCTCACGCCTGTAATCCCAGCACTTTGTGAGGCCGAGGCAAGCGGATTACCTGAGGTCGGGAGTTTGAGACCAGCCTGGCCAACATGGTGAAACCCTGGCTCTACCAAAAATAGAAAAATTAGTTGGGAGTGGTGGCAGCTGCCTGTAGTTCCAGCTACTCGGGAGGCTGAGGTAGGAGAATCGCTTGAACACGGGAGGTGGAGGTTGCAGTGAGCCGAGATCGCTTCACTGCACTCCAGCCTGGGCGACAGAGAGAGACTCCGTCTCAAAAAAAAAAAAAAAAAAAAAAAAAAAAAAAAGAAAGAAAGAAAGAAAAAGAAAAAAAAAAGAAAAAGAAAGAAAGAAAGAAAGGTGACCAACATGGCGGCTGGGAGGTGGGGAGGCTGGGAAAAGAAGGCAGCTTCCGGGTGGCCTACCTTGCCCCACGGAGGCTTCAGACATCCTGCTCCCCGTTATTTTCTGGTGCCCTGGCTTTCTCACTGCCCTTTTGTGGCTTGGCATTCCAGCTGCAGGACAAACCCCAGACCCATCAAGGTTCTGTGTTCTACATCCAGAGAGAGCCAATTCCCATGACAACTAACTCCATGCTAAAGGAACGTATGTTTGGGCCAGTTACACATTCTCCCTTTCGATTAGGGAATACATTTTCCCGGCGGTTTTCTAGAAACATGCTTTAATCCAGAAATGTGGTTCCAGAAGTGGGAAATTTGCTCAATGTAGCAAACGTGAGGGCAGACGGAGGCTTAGTGTATCCACCACCAGACACTCAGAGGTCCTATGCAAAGGGCCTGTGGCTGGATCCTGTGTTCTAGAGACAGTGGACACCTGAGAGTGAATTATTTTAAACCATCACTGAATGAGGAGTAAGCACTCAAAACAATGCCACGGGTGAGATGAGAAAAGAAAAGAGATATGCAGGACGGAACTTTCTCTTCGTTTGGGGAGGTGTGAGACACACTAATGGGATGAGACAATTTAAGTGACAATATTACTGGTATAGATAATGAGGGCTGTAGCATTTGAGGGATGGTTTAAAAAAATCAGTGATGATACTCAGTTTATGCTCCTAAAACTCAGAGCAGATTATCAAAAGCCTTTCTCATCTGTTTCCCAAGCCCCATCACTAACCTCGTTTCTTGATGCCCTACATCGCAGCCTTGCATCCATTCCTCAGTCTGCTCAACACTCCCCAGTCCCCATTGGTCAGCCATGGCTTCACTCATGCTCTTCCTTCTGCCCCCTGAGCCCTCTGGGAAGGTCTCCATTCTCCTGCCCTCCAGAGTGACGGAACTCATCCCAGTGCCCTCTAGGGCTCTAGGACATGACCTCAGCATGTTTCTTCCTATCAGGACCATGACACTCATTGATGCTGTTTCCATTTGTTGTTAATATAACTCTTACACTTTTCATATATTGAATGCCTGGGATCGCACCGACTGAAACGAAGTATTTTGGTTAAAGTAATTAATAGACATTAGCAAAGAAAATTAAAATGATTGACGTGTTACACTATTAAAAAGATGAAAGGGGTTAAATTCATTGAATGTTTTCATCTGAAGAAGGCAAGCTAATTTACTAATAACGATTTTCTGAACGTTGAGTGGGAAAACCTGGACTGGCCTTGAGTCTCTTACAAAACCAGCAAACTCTTCACAAGTAGTGTTACTCTCAGAACACAAGATAGGTTTGTAGGAGATGTGTCAATATAGAGTGTATTACTCAGGGCTCTCTGGAGCGACAGGACTAATAGGATAGATGTATATATGAAGGGCAGTTTATTAAGGAGAATGGACTCACACAGTCACAAGGTGAAGTCCCACAATAGGCCATCTGCAAGCTGAGGAGCAAGGAAGCCAGTCAGAGTCCCCAAACCTCAAAAGTAGGGAAGCCGACAGTGCAGTCTGTGGCTGAAAGCCCGAGGGTCCCTAGCAAACCACTGGTGTAGGTCCATGAGTCCAAAAGCTGAAGAACTTGGAGTCAGATGTTCAAGGGCACGAAGCATCCAGCATGGGAGAAAAATGGAGGCAAGAAGACTTAGCCAGTCTAGTCCTTCCACGTTCCTCTACCTGCTTTTATCCCAGCTCCACTGGCAGCTGATTAGATGGTGCCCACCCAGGTTAAGGGTAGGTCTGTCTTTCCCAGTCCACTGACTCAAATGTTAATCTCCTTTGGAGACACCCTCACAGACACACCCAGGGATGATACTTTGCATCCTTCGATCCAGTCAAGTTGACACTCAATATTAACCATCACCTATAACCTATCTTTTTTTTCCCAAGCATCCACCCAAATCATGAGAGAGCTCAAGTTGGAAAACTAGATTGTCAGGAATGTTATGATATGAACACCAGTCAGGAAACAAACACAAAAAGAGTTAACAGAATTTAAAAAACACATTTTAGGCTACATCTTTTCTTCCTTCTCCCAAATGTCACAAGCCAAGGGCAAAATGGGAGTCTTTACTTGAAATCTTCAGTCATTTGTCACTGCTTTATTACAATATTAGCATTGTTTAAAACACTGATGTATTTTTTTTTTTTGGCCGTGAAAATGGATGTGTAAGTGCAGAAAGACCATGCATACGATTAGCATAATAATGGGAAACATGCACAAAGCTCTGGCTCATCTTGACTTCTCTGACCTTCAGCACTTTAGCTGGAGTTAGAAATGGCTCTGGGTGTTTAGCCTTAGTATGCAGAGGTGGGTGGAGATGGCATAATTTCTTGAAATCATTGCCCTCAGAGAGTGACAAGGTGTAAATTTCCAAAATGTTTGAAATTTCCGTCCACTGGCTGAGTTCTGATGTGTTGCAATGCGGAGAGCAAAGCTCTAGTTAAGGATTTATCTCAGGCTCCAAACCCGCAGGCCAATGAATGCCCAGTGCTGTGAAGGTGAAAGGCACAGTCTCCAAAGCTAAAGAGCTATCCACATCAATTTGCAGCCAGCTAAGTGGCATCAGCAGTGGGAGAGCTATTTACACTCCCTTCTCCGCTGACAATGATGGGTCTGTAACCAGGAGGGAAGCCAGGGGAACTGACAGGGCTGTTCAGAATATAATGGTCATTTATGGCTAAAGTACCCCCATAACAGTGGGCCCCTCACTCTCATCTGCAGAATACTTGAGGAACTTGCAATAAAATACATGTTCACACCAAACACAGCCCCCTCTAGAGATTTTCTGCAAAATGCCCATTCACATTAAAGCACCTGGTGGCATTTGCTTTGCTTATCCAATGGGACAAAGCCAAGGGACCTCCCTAAATGTTGTCCTCCCCCCACAGATGCTGATAGGAAAGGCTCAACCCAGCACTGACAACTGGATTCTTATCATCTCACAAGCAAAACGAGGGAAGAGGGAGAGAACTGGGAGGAAAATAATTAGACAACATTTATCATGCAATTCGTGAAAGTACTGTATTTTGCAGCAATGTAAATTATAGTATTGCATTATCAAGATAATAATTTGTTTTTGTGACAAGAAATCACACCATTATGTGTTGCATCTGTATTATTTTTTAAATTAGGCTTTTTAATTACAGAGATAAATTATGTATGTAAGAATCCCACTTTGAAAATTTTATACAACATGTCATCTAAGATCCCATTAACTGTTGGAATCTACTCTTCTCATCTCTAAATGCTCCCTAGTTGTAAGAATTAACTCTTTCCTGGGTGGCCAGGAGCCCTGTGGCACACTCCTGCAGCTTGAATCCACCTCACCTAGGGACAACCCTGTTTGTTCAGTTACAGGAATAAGGACACCTCTGGGTCTCCCTGCAGCTCTGCCACAGGCTCCACCCCAAGTGAAGCTGCTCAGACTCGAAAATGTCTCTGTAGGGTTGCCCTTCTGCATTCATTTTGTATGCCCTGAGAGAAAGCTGCTTTTCTCCCCCAGTTACAATTCCCTGAAGATTTTCAGATGTCACAGAGGTCCAAAAAGTGAAATCAATATGAAGTAAAGGTTACCATCATAGGTGGTTGTCTCAATCTAATATGTTACGCGGCAGCATAGACTTGGGAACCCATCGTAACTGGGTTCAAGTTCTGGTATGGTAAATAACCTCCCTGGGTCTCAATTTTTCCATCTGCAAAAGAAGCACAATAACAATAATTCATATAAAAAGTAGGAATTAAATAAAATAATGTCTATAAAGCACCAGGGCAAGGTCTGGTACATAACAAGTATTTGTTACATGAGAATAGTTATTCATATTCCTTTGTTTCAAAGCAACGATTTGAGACTAAGTTCAATCCAAAGTTCATCTTTGGGTTTCTTTAATTTCCAAATGGTCCTTATCAGTTTCATAACTGTACTTGATGCTATTGATCAACAGAAAATGAGTTTAATATAGCCACCTTTTTTGAGCCCAGCAAGAGAAAAAGATAATCTGGAAAAGGTATAAGCTTAGTGGCCAGTGAAGCACCTTGAGCCATTCTGACGATGATTGTTGTGGGCACAGATGATGTCAATTCCATCTTCATCTACCATCTTGTCACTGTTTGCCTCTACAGCTTGGGCATCAGTACCTTGCGGTCAGCAAATAACAGAACAAAGAAGCGATATTTCCAGAAGATGACTCAAGAGGGGAGAGTATGCCTGAAAAGACACATCGTAGATCATCCAACTACATACTTGCCTAATTTTTCACATTGTTTTTGCCAGTCCTGCCCTTAAAACCATTTCCTGAACTTTCCAAAATGCAGGCCCACTTTGAGGAATAGTGACAAACTGGATAGGCCTTGAGATCTTACAATTTACTTCTATCCCTGCCACATATTCTTCCTGTTAATCAAAACATCGGATTTCCTCCTCAGTCCTCTCTTCTCTATGAAACATACTCTCCCCAGATGTGAGATGAGAAAGGAAATTAGTAAAAGGTAAGTTCAAAATTAGTAAAGTTAAGTTCAATTACATTGCCAGAAATAGGGGCTGGGTGGGGAGGGGATAAGACAGCACAGGGAAAAAAATAATAATAATAATCAAAGAAAAACATACATTTTCAAACATAAAGAGCTGCTTTGGGTCTGAGGATGTATGTATAAAAGAGGGACTTAGATCACAAGAATTGGCATTCAAACAAATAAAAATGTAATTACATGAAGAAGAGAACAGGCGGAATGTACAAAAATTCTCATACTTGGTTTTCAAACAAGAACAAAACCTGAAATAGTAATTTTCAGTGAAGAATGGGAAGAGAATGATCTTTGTTTTGCTTCTCATGTTGGAGGTTCATTACTACGGGAGAAGGTAGATTGTCTCATCCTTAAGAAGCAGAATTATTTCAATATAGGAATCAGAGTTAAAATGGAACTGATGTACCCACAGAAAAGGCTTGAAGTGTAGGTCAGTCTTAACCACACAGATTACAAAACAGAGAGGAAAATATGCTGAAGGAAATGAGAAAATGAGGTTGACTAAGTTATGCCTGAGGAACCCCCTTCCCCATTTCCAAGAGGATTGCTAAGTTCTCCAAGCTCTAAGAAGTGAGTTTACAATTAAA